ACAGCATCAAAGCAAACTTTGCTTTAGAATTATTTTGTGGCATTTCGTTCTTCGTATGCCATTTCGATTTGTGGCGCGTTTTAAAGCTTTAAGCCAGTGTAGCTGGCAGTTGAAAGTGGAGCGTGCTGAGGTGTAGCTGTAGCGCCGCTGGCGATACGAGGCGAGACGAGCGACGAGCGACGAGCGGCGAGTGAAAAATAATAATACAAACCAATTTCATGCTGAATTAAGCAGGAGTGGAGCAGCGGCAACAACAATAGTTGAAGTGTCCTGTCAACAGGCACCAATTACAACAACAACAGCAGCAGGAGCACAAAGGCCGCACGTGCATTGCGCTTTTCGTTGGAGAGACGACCAGACTCAGCCAGCAAGGGGCACAGGGCAAGGAGCAAGGGACATGCCACACACACTTGGCCTTGGGCAATTTTTAAGAAAACTTTTGTTGGCGCGCTGAATTATCACACGTTGTAGTGGGTGTGTGTGTGTGCATCACCTCAGGCACACCTCGCCAGCAAATGAAAGTACGAGTCGCAGAACCACAGCAACGTGTCTCGCATAATTTACTGCAAGTGCACAACAATAGCGCAGCTTACCCGGCCCCTGCGCCTGCATCTGCCCCTGCCCCTACCCAGTTGCCCCTCAAGCATTAGCTCTGGCTGCAGCGTGAAATATTAGAAATTAAAAAACACATGACAAGCGTCGCGGGGCACTTTGATTTGTCTGCCAGCCGCAGACAGGCGCTAACAAAGCCCCAACCCGCCCGCCGCACTTTTAATAACTCAAAGTCAAACACAACCAGAACAACTGCCAGGACAACATTCAGGACACCAGTCGAGTGCGTCTATTGCTGGGGTGTTTCAATAAATTAGAAAACACCTGTTTCTAGCGTCGCTGTCAACAGCTGCCTGACCCCCCCGCCACCCACTAGCCAACGCGTAATGAAAATAAGCACAATATTATGCCGACTACATAATTTGTGCTGGGCTGGTGTCCCTGTCTGCCCCCCGCCTGACCCTGCCCGCTCCTACCTATGTGTGTGTCTGTCTGCTTGTAATTTATGCTTTCTATACTCTGTTTGTGAGGTGAAAAGGCGTATATCAGCTTTGCATGGGCAACTGCTGGCCACTTGAACTACATTTCTATATATATATATATATCTTCTGAGATCCTCTATATATCTTGACATACCCGCTTTCTGCTCGACAGAGCCAACTACTCTTGGCAACGCCTCTGGCTACAGCTGAAGATTGGGTTGAACTTCAATTGCAATTTTCTACAATTTCTTCTAGGGCTGTGAGCGGGCATTGAGAAGTCATTGCCAACCGCTTGCAGCTGCCCCACTTGCTCGTTTTTTGCTGCTACTTGGCCGCATTTCGCGGTTTTTTATTGCTTCGTGTTGGCACGGTGCAGGCCGAGGCCAGAAGGCCGCGCCGTGCTGGCCATAATGTCGTCATGACAGACGCGGCCATAAAAGATAATTATGATTCCGGTAATAGGTTTTATTTTCGCGTGTACCTCTTTTGTTCATGTGGCCCCGCCTCCCCCCAACTGCCCGCCTTACCCCAGCTCCTCGTTCAATATTCTGCTCATTGCCAAAAACTGACGCCATGTTTGTGCCTGTTGTTGTGACTGGAGCTGGCACAAAGGTCGGCTAGTGCCTTGCAACGCCCCTCCGCCCTCTCCACCCCGCTTGGTTGGATCTGTGCGTCTACATTCATTTTGCGGGCGACCAACGTGGCATAGAAATTATGCGCATTATACGCGCCGCGCTTCAGCGCCTTGCTAAAAAATTATATCCGCGGCATAAAAAACGCACCGCTTTATGCCTTTGATAAATTGCGAGCGGTTTAAGTTCTATGTGTAAGCGTGTGTGTGTGTGTGTGTGTTACATTTTTAATTAGCAGAAAAGCAGAAGAGCTGATGAGGCTGGAGCTAGGGGGCCAGGCGTGTTTGCTTGAGATTGGCAAACTGTGTTCCAGCAAATCAATGGCGGGCTTGTTGTTGTCGCCATTCTAATGAAGTTGTCAACCTTATGAAGATTAATGCCGCTTTCACCGTTTCAATTAGATCGGAAGAAACTTTCGCTTAACAAAGAATAATTGTTGGAACATGATAATTGTGTTAAGAGCGCGAATGCAAATTGCGCTAGTGCCGAGGGCGAATGTGATTAATGGGCGTCCAGCAGTTGACCCACTTTCAATTAAACGCCTCGAAAAGGATACGTATCGAAAATCAAACAGGCGAATGCGGAAATGACAGCCGTTGACGTCTAATGGAAAACGTGCGCGGGCATAAAAATGGCCGCTAAGAAAATGCATAAAAATTGTGCGAAAGCAAACAGGAGCGACGCGCAGGACAGACAGACATACACACACACACACATATGCACACACATGCTGGCGCTCATGTGCGAAAGGACATGCAAGGACAAACGGAAGTCACATACGCAAACTTCGCTTATCGTCCAAGACACAAAGTTACTTTTGCACCCAAAGTCCATAAAATATTTTTTATACGGCTGCAGCAGATCGAGGCACAGGATACAGCTTCACAACGGCCACATACCTACACGTAAAAGGAGCAGAGCAGCCTCGGGGGTTGTTGGCGTTGGACTTGGCGAATGCCAAATTGTTTACACAAGTCATAAGCATTTTTTAGCGTGCCCTGGTCACATTTACTTGGACGTCTGTTTGCCAGCGCTAAAGCGTTTCGCATTTGCATAAACCTAGCCAGCAAGCGGGATAACCCATTACGCTCACACAAATAGAAAGAGAGAGAGAGAGAGAGTGGGAGAGAGCGCGACAACTTTTGACAACTGCAATAATCATAACTGCAGCGCTCGACATTGATTTCTAATGCGAAGATTGTGGCACAAAGATTCGCGTGGCCAACGCCAGGCGCCATTAATGCCTTTGTCTTACAAGTCGTTCTAAGTCCTGTTCCAGCACTTCCACTTGATTTGAATTTGCCAACGAGCCCATAAACCAACTAAAGTTTCAACTGCCAGCAAAAAAAAAAACGAAAAACATGGAAAGGAAAATGTCGTAACTTAAGCGCTTTAGTTTTACGACCCCGCGCAGAGCACAGTGGGTCATCAAACGAAACGCTGAGCCATGATTGAAATTGATATGGCCTCAAAAGGTGCTGCTGCGCCTACAACCACCACAGGAATTATGCTTCAAGTGGTGCATGGCCCAGTTTTGTGTGTTTAGGTGTACAATGTTTACGCCCAATCCGAAAACGCCAAACCCTCTCCAAACAGCGCTCGAATATCAGTTTCAAACTGCTGTTCCAGAAATCCATATCAATAGTGAATCGACTGGCTTTGATTGAATCTGATTTAAGTAATCAAACTTTAAGCTTTGAAGCTCGATTCGTTTCCTGATGTAGTTCAAATTGAAATTCTATACTTTACTACTTTGATTATGAAATGGGAAAATGAATTAACATTTATATTTAAGTTGTAACCCAACATACAATAGAAAATAAGCTAAAAAATAAAAATGTTTTTTTTTTTTAATTATATAAGCACAATTGTCTTCAGCTAATTTTTAAAAATTATTAAAATAAATTTAAAATATTTTTCAGTTTCTATAAATTTATAAATTTGCTTAAAAATATTATAAAAAGTTATTCTTATTTTTAAAAATTATTAAAATTAATCAATAATAATATTTTATAATTTTTCTGATTAATATAAGTAAAAATTACAAATATTCTCTTTAATACATTTATATATTGCCATATTCAGCTGCCGTTTTGCGGAATACCCCATATGAAGTCCAATCATTGTCTGAGACTAAAATAAATAATCTCTGTAGTTTTTTTTTTTTTGATTTTGGGTTTAGCTTAAACGACAGTTTGTACCGTGACATGTTTGCACGTCGTCGCGGCTGTCCATGTCGCTGTTATCGCTTATTTCGATCCACAGATTCGATTGCTTGCAGATGATTGATGGCACTTAATTGATGAACATCGGGCGGGGATTTGATGAAGCTCAACAAAAGAGGACTTAGCGTAAACATTTGCACTTGGCCCAGACGAACGACTGGCTTTAAGTGCTGCTGGCCAACAGCTTTCGGCTTAAATCTGGTCAACAAGCAGCAGCAGCAGAAGCAGTCGCAGAGCTGCTAACCACGAGACATTTTCCAGGTCACAGGTGCTTTTGTTGTCCGCATTAGATTTGCCTCTGACATTTGCCCACACAAATCTGTGCAGCTGTATGTGTGTGTGTGTGTGGGCTTTGGCCTTTTTGTTTGGCAAAAGTCTGCCCATTTGGCTGTAAAATTTATTTCATTTGACCGCCCTGCGCTGCTCTCCGTGTCCACTACACGCGTGACGCTGACAGTTTTATGGCAAAGTTAAGCCGATATCAACGGCAGGACACATGCCGCTGCAGGATGACAACTGCTGCCAGCGCAGCCAACACCCAACCACACGCCCCCATAAAAGTGCAAAATTTAAAGCCCTTTCCGGTCATACCTTTGCACAACAAGTGGGTGGAGTACCCGGCGCCTTGCTTGTGTGTGTGTGTATGTGTGTGCAGCTATTTTGTATACAAAAAGGTTTTTAGGTTTTCCACAAAGCCTTTCAATGAAATCATTCATGGTTAAAGTAGATAACAGATTGTCACATTCCGCCCAAAGGTCCCTAACATAGCGCGTCAATGGACTTTAATGCAAAAGCATATTTTATAACATTTCGCCAATGGCAATTGAAAACAACAAGGACAGCTAAATGGGGATTAGAATTGACCTTATATACACACAAATATTACTCACATAGGATCGATCGCATATAGTTGTTCGATTCAATAAACGTTTAGCGAAATATGTTAGCAGCGTGAGAACTCTTCCTGCAGCCCTTATGTCTATATAAATAATACGACTGCCCAAGAATATGCATATTAAATGAGTACGAACTATATTTTAACAATTATAGATATGCTTAAAAATTCAATATAAATAGAGATGGTAGATAGTTAAGTTCTTAACTACTACTACTATACTAAAATATTAGATCTCAATGCGATTGTTCGAACAGAAGATGTGAAACCAACTGTATTTCTCAAGCTTTGATTGAACATAATCACCGAGGACGTAGATATTGATGGCCATAAACCTGGACTCGTCTTCCTCTGTTGATACTTTGTTGACTGCTGTTAGCTTGACATCGATTAGAAGGGTTGCATGCAGCATGTAGAGAATGCCGCACGTCAATGACGCAATGGATTGATATAACATAAATGACGCAAACGGATGAACGGGTTCAACCTTATCATAGACACCTTCTACAGGCTCGTGCCCACTGTACAATAAGTGGAAGTCACGCTCCGCATCCCACATGGTTAAGATGGAAATCGCTATAAATCCGAACGATGCAAAGCAGGACTTAAATATTTCCATGCAAATTGTGGGATTGTGTCCCGAGCAGATGTTGATGCTCTGGAAGAGCGTGATCACCATGAACACGTAGAAAGTCACCAAGTAGCTATAGTAAATTAAGCGCTTGTCCCATTTCAACATATACAAATCCACAGACATAAATCCTTTTATGTGATATGCTAAACAAAACATATTGAAGATCGTCTCCAACGTATAGAATACAAACGAGACTGGCCGCAATGTAGTCGTCGTCGGCAACTCATCTACCCCTCTAGTATAAATGATCGTGGACACTCTGACCATTTTTACCTTGTGCTATTCTAGAAGTACTTTCTGGCTTTCTTTACACAAACTAGAAAATCAAATAAATTGTGTCAGTAGAATTTTGACAGCAAATTGAATTACTCAAATCTCATGCTCTTCGAGAGTCACACTTCATTCTCGTGGACTGTAAATTCAAGCGCCTTCTAGGCATCATTAATTCCTGAAAGGCCAATACGCAAGGCATATCTATATACGGCATAGGTGTCTGAGCTGCTAAAGCCATCACGAAAGGCCTTCTCCTAAGATCGTATGCTATGTTTGACTACGCTTGAGTCAAGTACGATATTCATTCAAGCCAAAGAATAAGATATTATTTTCGGAACAACATGGAATGAAAATGTTTACCTTATCAAAGAGTTTTAGTATATGGCCAAACAATCTATTATTTTTTAATCATCTCTTTAATCTGCTCTCAAATTTCATTTCTATGAATGGCCAGTTTTCATTACATATAGTTATCTACAATAAATTTATTATAAGAAGAAGAGGCACAAAGAGCCATGCACCAAGCATGAATTTCTTAAAGTCATTTTTTACGTAGGCGCGTCTATAGATAAGCTTTTGAAGCAGCTGAAAACTTTTTTGTTTCGCTTTGCACACGTGCTTAGCGCTTTGTTGTGGCAAGAGCTGCATAAGCAAAAAGAAAAAAAAAGTAAAAAAAAGTGCTGCGTCTTATAAACAATTCGAATGACAAATCAAGCCGTCAACACATTTAAAATGCACAGTGGAAATGTGAGAAGTTTTTCAAGAGAAAAGACAAAGTTAAGGTTCAATTTACCTAATATATATATTAATATTATATATATAATTCTCATTATTATATATATTACATATCAAGCGCATTTGTACAATCATAATTTGGCCATTTTTGTGGCTACGTGCCTCACTGTGCATGACTGATTTCTTACTGCTTTTAATTAACTATTGCGCGGCTCGCTATCAACCCGTCGAGTCGCATCGAATCGCTTATCATTCGGGGAAACGAATAGCAACAATGACAAGTAGCACGACGCTATTCTAAATGTGTGGTAAACGCTTTTGCCGATCTATGAGTATTTTTAAACATTTATCTCGCGCCAACGTCAACTTTGCGGCAAATGCATGAAATTTTTGACAGTTGGACCTGGCCCATTGGTACCTCAACATGGCCAACGAAATAGTGCACTTGCCGTCATGGAAGCTACTCTTACTGGCCGTGGTTCTGCTGCGGTCCCTGGTTGCTGGCCAAACTGTGGACAATGAACAGAGTCATTCGACCTCGGTGGCTGGCATGGTGCAACTGCTGGAGCTGGAGGCCAAGCTTATCGATAATCTCAACAACTACGCCGACGAGTTGGAACTGAAGCTGAAAGTAGTGCGCAGGTTGGTTAACAAGGCGTTATCTAGATCTTAGATCGAGCTATATTAATGAAAGCTAAACCCCAGCTTTACTAAGCAAATGCACAAGGAAAGCAGCAAGGCAATGGACGATACGGTTCAGTATCTGTCGAATCCGCTGAATGCCTTTTCTCTTATACGCCGCATGCATCAGGACTGGATACACTGGCAGCAGTACATGGAGCAGCCGGTGGGCAAGCAGCAGGTGAACTACTTGCAACAGATGCGCGAGCAGCTGCCTACCAGCACGGATCTCGAAGAGGCAGGCGCTGCCTTACATCGCATACACATCACCTACGACATTACCATCTCCGACATGACTCAAGGCCTGCTCAATGGCAAGAAGTACAAGTACGTAGCTTGGCAACAGTAACAAAGACCCATTCAGAATCGTATAAACAATGGAATTTGCAGTGTCAGCTTGAATGCACTGGACAGTTATGCCTTGGGCAACTACCACTATGATCAGCAGAACTTTGGCTATGCCAGCCAGTGGATCTACCAGGCCATAAACTGGCTGAAAGGACCACATAAGTTGCCGCTACCTCTAGAGTTAGATCGTGCAGAGGTGTTCCACATCTATGCCGAAGCACTTATCAAAATGAGTGAGTTGCCTCTGATAACAGGGTAGCAGAGTAGCTTAATTAATTTGGTTTCTTGTTTAGATCGATACAAAGATGCGGTACAGGTTCTCCATACGGCGACGACTCTTAAAAAAGATAATTTAAAACTTTTGCTGCGAAAGTCGGAAGTAGAAACTCTGATAAGAACGGAGCCAAATGTTGTACCCAAGGCGGTAGGTGCACTTTATCAAATTGAAGGCAATCGAAGGCAACTCTCTCTCCCTCTCTCCTTCTCTTTCGATATCAGTTACAAAAGCCGCCAGTACTGGCCTATGAACGTGGCTGTCGTGGCCAGTTCGCGCAGAATTCCAGACTGCACTGCGTCTACAATAGCACCACTTCGCCTTTTCTGCGCCTGGCTCCACTGAAAATGGAGCTGATTGCACTGGATCCCTATATGGTGATATATCACGATGTCATATCACCCAGTGAGATCAGCGAACTTCAGAGCCTGGCAGTGCCTAGCTTGAAGCGCGCCACGGTGTTCAATCAGAAGAGCGGTCGCAACAATGTAGTCAAGACACGAACCTCAAAGGTTACATGGTTGCTGGACACACTAAATCAGCTTACAGTTCGTCTGAATAAACGTATAACCGATATGACGGGCTTCGATATGTATGGCTCGGAAATGTTGCAGGTCATGAACTATGGCCTCGGCGGACACTACGACAAGCACTTTGATTACTTCAATTCCTCCATTGTGAGTATATAAATCATGCCAGAGACAACTTGTTCTAAAACACATAATTGTATGCTTCTAGGCCTCAGATTTGACTAGGCTCAATGGCGATCGCATTGCCACCGTGCTCTTTTATGTGAGTATCCACATGTAGACAATTCCCTCTCTGATTTTCCATTTATCCCGTCTATAGCTAACCGATGTGGAGCAGGGCGGCGCCACGGTCTTTCCCACTATAGAGAAGGCAGTCTTTCCCCAAAAAGGAGCAGCTATTGTCTGGTACAATCTTAAGCATGACGGAAATGGAGATACACAAACCTTGCATGCCGCCTGCCCTGTTATAGTGGGCTCCAAGTGGGGTAAATATGATTAAGCTCTCTACACACCTGCATATGGATTCCATCACTCCTTTAAACTCTACTTCACAGTTTGCAATAAATGGATACGCGAGCGACAACAATTATTTAGAAGACCCTGTCTCTCGAGTAACAAAAGCATATAACCTTAACTAGTCTTATTCTTCTGATATGCCAATTTGTAGAATTAATTACATTTAAATATAATCAAAATATAATCAAAGCCAAACTTCAATTATTTTCCAAATTAAGCAATAATTGGAACTCCCTAATTAGGATATATAACATTTGATATATGTATTCATGATTTTCCCGCAACTTTCTACATAGTTTTCCTTGAGTTTTTGAAGTTTCAAATGTTTATAATATACAACAAAATTAAGCCGCACAATGAGCTTATGTGGTTGGGCTTTACTTTATATCGCACTGATCTCATGGATAAATCAGACAGAAGCCACAAAGAAAAGCGTCAGCACCTCTGTGGTGGGAATGTTGGAACTGGTGCAACTGGAGGCCGATCTCATAGACAGTCTCAGCACCTATGCGGACGAACTGGAAGCCAAACTGAAAGTGTTGAAAAGGTCTGTCGAGTAACTCGATTCAATTCGTGAACAGATACAACGTAAAGAATCTACAGTTTTGTTCCAAAACTGCAGGCCGAGAGCAATGAGGCAGTGACTCAAATGGAGAACTATGTGTCCAATCCAATAAACTCCTTTTCACTGATACGTCGCATGCATGAGGATTGGCATGACTGGAAGATATTCATGGAATCGTCTATCGGGCAATCGCAGGTTGCTTTCCTTAACAAAGCTAAGCTACAATTCCCAACGAAAACAGATCTAAATGAAGCTTCTTCGTCCATCGTTCGCTTACAAAAGATGTACAACTTGACGGCAAAGGATATGGCCAGAGGCGTTCTCAATGGAAAGCAATACGAGTAAGTCCAAGCTTAGCTAATTTTATGCGGAATCTAGTTTCAGGTGCTAACTGCAGAGCGAGCTTAACTGCTTTGGATACCTATGCCATGGGAAGATACCTGAATAAACAAAACCGAGACATGGCCAGAGAATGGTTTGTGGTAACAAGCGAGTTGCTTAAGGAACAAACACCTCTAACTCCACTCGCAGGTGAACGTGAGAAAGTGTTGCATCTCTTTGCTCAAGCTATCTTCGATTATGGTGAGTCTGCAAAAGGTATTTCAGGGAAATATCTTCAGTTTCCTCTACTTAGAATATTACTCGATTGCCCTGTCGGTTTTTGATCACGCACTGTTATTGGCGAATAAAACTGCGAATCCCACACTGTTGAGTAAGAGAAGCAAGTTTGAGGAGCTTGCCCGAAAGGAGGCCGAGGTGGTGGAGAAGACAAATTCCAAGATCAAACCTTCGGAATTTGAAATAGGTTGTCGCGGACAGTTCAAACAACAATCCAAATTGCTGTGCGAGTACAAGTCGGAGCTGTCGCCGTTTCTTCAACTGGCGCCTGTTAAGGTAGAGGAAGTGTTTCTGGATCCCTTGATAATGGTATTTCATGACGTCTTGACGTCTCGCGAAATCGACGAGCTCCAGCAGATCGCTCGGCCACTTTTAAAGCGCACAACCATTCTACATAACTCTGGAGTCGAAACTGTGCATAGCTCACGAATCGCAAAAGGCACTTGGCTGACACGCGACTTCAACAATCTGACATTGCGCATCGAAAGACGTATCATGGATATGGTTGACCTGGAGCTAAGCGGATCTGAGGACCTTCAGATAATGAATTACGGCATAGGAGGGCATTTTGAACCTCATTACGATTACTTCGAACCAGATGTAAGTTTCTCTATTCCCGAGTAGATTGCATCAGCTTTAACTGCTGTTTTCATTTTTAATTTTCAGGATTTGGATGAAGGGGACAACAATCGCTTAGCTACGCTCTTATTTTATGTGTGTTTTTTCTACAGTGAGCTATATCAATTCTATATATTTCTCCACAGCTAACTGATGTAGAACAAGGAGGCGCCACCGTATTCCCTGTCCTGCAGCAGGCTGTTAGCCCCAAGCGCGGCGCAGCGCTCTTCTGGTACAATATTAACGCGAATGGATCTGTCGACCCCAAATCTTTTCATGGAGGCTGTCCAGTTCTAGTTGGCTCCAAGTGGAGTAATATGCTAACCAATCCAATGATCTACTATTTAATAAAAACAACGATTTCCCTTACAGTTATGACCCAATGGATATCAAATAATATAAGTTGACGGAAGCCCATCTAGCAGAACATAGTTAACTTGCAGTGCGATATAAAGCAAATTCTACGCACACAGTTCGAAATTCATTTGTATATAAGTAATATATATTTTTAATGCTGTTTTATCCATGTAGTGAACTGGAGACATTAAATAAAATTGCTTTTAAATGAAGTAAAGAAATCTTTGCTAATCCTTGTTTTGCTTCATGGATTACTGCAGATTTCACTCGATTGTTTTATCACTTCAAAGTGCTCGATTGAAAAATACCCCTTAGCAAAGGTTGTTTTCTATATAATAAGTTGGCTTTGACTATTTGTGTGCTTCAATGGCTTGAAACCAGACGTTCAAATACAGAAAACTAAACACCGTCATGAAATTGACTGTCTGGAAACTACTTTTTACATCAATAATATTACTGACAAATGGGACAAAAGTCACAGAGAAGAGCATCAGCACCTCTGTGGTGGGAATGTTGGAACTGGTGCAACTGGAGGCCGATCTCATAGACAGTCTTAACAGCTATGCGGACGAACTGGAAGCCAAACTGAAAGTGTTGAAAAGGTCTGTCGAGTAACTCGATTCAATTCGTGAACAGATACAACGTAAAGAATCTACAGTTTTGTTCCAAAACTGCAGGCCGAGAGCAATGAGGCAGTGACTCAAATGGAGAACTATGTGTCCAATCCAATAAACTCCTTTTCACTGATACGTCGCATGCATGAGGATTGGCATGACTGGAAGATATTCATGGAATCGTCTATCGGGCAATCGCAGGTTGCTTTCCTTAACAAAGCTAAGCTACAATTCCCAACGAAAACAGATCTAAATGAAGCTTCTTCGTCCATCGTTCGCTTACAAAAGATGTACAACTTGACGGCAAAGGATATGGCCAGAGGCGTTCTCAATGGAAAGCAATACGAGTAAGTCCAAGCTTAGCTAATTTTATGCGGAATCTAGTTTCAGGTGCTAACTGCAGAGCGAGCTTAACTGCTTTGGATACCTATGCCATGGGAAGATACCTGAATAAACAAAACCGAGACATGGCCAGAGAATGGTTTGTGGTAACAAGCGAGTTGCTTAAGGAACAAACACCTCTAACTCCACTCGCAGGTGAACGTGAGAAAGTGTTGCATCTCTTTGCTCAAGCTATCTTCGATTATGGTGAGTCTGCAAAAGTTATTTCAGGGAAATATCTTCAGTTTCCTCTACTTAGAATATTACTCGATTGCCCTGTCGGTTTTTGATCACGCACTGTTATTGGCGAATAAAACTGCGAATCCCACACTGTTGAGTAAGAGAAGCAAGTTTGAGGAGCTTGCCCGAAAGGAGGCTGAAATGGTGGAGAAGCCAAAACCTAAGACCAAACCTACGAATTATGAAATAGGTTGTCGCGGTCTGTTCGTAAGGCAGTCCAACATGAAGTGCACATATAAGTCGAAGGATTCACCATTCCTTCGACTGGCGCCGATCAAAATGGAATATTTAGTTTTAGATCCGTTAGTTGTAGTGTTTCATGACGTATTGTCGTCGGGGGAAATTGACGAGATGCAACTGATCACAAAGCCCTTTCTCGAACGCACCTTAATTCAACATGCTTTTGGAGCACACATAATTCAGAAGTTTCGCACTTCAAAGGGCATGTGGATCAATCGGAATCATAACAATCTGACACTGCGCATTGCAAGACGTATTATGGATATGGTGGATCTGGACTTGCAAGGGTCAGAGCCATTTAATGTAATGAACTATGGCATAGGCGGTCACTATAATACTCACTACGATTACTACAACAACTCCTCTGTAGGCTTTTCGAATTTTGTCTGATGACTATTCCAGTCATAAACTTTGCCATTTCTTTTCAGGTGACAGATAATCGCATGGCCACGGTTTTATTCTATGTACGTGAGCTGTCGTGAGATCTATTTAATTTCTTTTAAATTCTGTATTGCAGATGACTGATGTAGAGCAGGGAGGCGCCACCGTATTCCCTGTCCTTAAGCAGGCTGTTAGCCCCAAGCGCGGAAGTGCGCTCTTCTGGTACAACATAAAGCATAACGGAAATCGCGACCCCAGAACTTTGCATGGAGGCTGCCCAGTCCTAGTTGGCTCCAAGTGGAGTAATATATCTACCAATACCAGATAGTCCTTTTCTTTACTTAAATCCATTGTTCCCAGCAGTATTCACCCAATGGATAAACGAACGCGCCAACATGTTTCATAGACGTTGTAGGAAGCTGGAGGCCACTGCAGCATAGAGTAAAATAGTTAAAAACTGTACATTTCATTGTCTCTATTGCATTGAGACATGCAGATGGGATTAAATTATATATATTCAAATGTAAACACATTGTAAATTCGAGTATTCAATTCACATAGACTAAATGGGTTACTAGTTTCATTGGGCTGATGTTCTAATGACTGCCAATAAACATGTCGTTCAGTTAGGACTTACATTCTGCCATGAGCTATGAGCCATGAGCCATGACTGCTCGGGTCGACCCACACGTATGCAGAATCATAGACAAACAAATTTCCGGCGTAATCACTTTACACACTTAACAAAAACCAACACGAGACCCCAGCCAACCTAGCTCAGCCCCTACCTTGGTGGCTTAAATGCTTTTTAAAATGCCAACATGGAAAAAATAAAGTGCTGAGTGGTTGATAGTCGTTCCAGCTAACGTCCTGCTCAGCCTCGTTGGCTGAGGTATGTTTTGGGCTAGGTAAGAGCCAAGCACAATTTTAGCATACTCCTAGGCGCCAAGCCCCGCGCCCCACGTCCAACGGGCGTCTAGTGTCTGACACCGCGTACGTGACGTGCAACTTAATGTTTCAATTAGAGGTGAAGTGGCGCCCACGTTGCCAGAAACGTGGTGGCAGCCGCCTGCTGCTTAGGATATCGTTATCGCTGCCTTGTTAACCAGCGTGTGTAAGTGTGTGTGTGTGTGTGTGTGTATGTATCAGTGCTTAGTATCTCTATCAGTCTGTGCACTTATCTGCTTTTAAAAGTTTTAATAATGAACTGGCGCTTACCACGAAGAAACGTGTGCGTTAGCTACTGATGCTCCCGATTAAATCCAGCTACAACTCCTACTCCTACTCGGCTGCTGACTAAGCACTTTTGATAATTTGTTTACAATCCACTCGGTGCACCTTTTGTTGGCATGCAAAGAAAGGGCCTTCGAAAGGGTCAGCTGGCGCTGTGCAGTGCAGCGTGCTTAATGCGTAGATTTAATTGAATTTCGCAACTGAAACTAACTCAAATAAAACTTTTGCTTGACCACAAATGAGAATATTTTCGGGCAGCTGCAAAGTTTGAGCAGCTCAACAGCTTCAAAGATTTCGTATTAAAGTTTTGACACAGCAGCAAGCAAATGGCCAGCGGGCACAGTGCCTGCCCGGCTCCCTGGCAACCGAACACCTTTAACTAAAGCGAACTCATCGACAACAACAAAAATTTGCTAACATATGCGAAATGCCATGCAATGGCCAACTAGTTTTCAGAGCATAGCCGAAGCTGGAATGCGCTGCAGTGGGAAATTTATTGAGATTCCGCATGAATAACAAAGAGAACATTTCACATCTGCTGCTCCCACAGGTAGCTCATTGTGCAGTCGACTCTGCCCCGTCGAGTGTGTAGACCAAAACGTACCTAAAACGTATTTCATTTTGATTGTGTGCACTTTATGATACTCCCAGCACCACACAGAGATGATTACATATGCGCAGACCAATAATTTTTGCCCCACACACATAGAGAAAACGAGAAGAAATAAAATAAATAAATGGAATAAAAATCAAACAAGGTTAAGAAATGTCGGCTGTAAGGCTGTAACCAACGTTGATTGTGAAAATCTAGCAAAATGTTTTATGCACAGGCGAAAAAAGAAGAAAAATAAAAGGGTTGCAGACTCACACACATTTTGTGGTCAATGAAGGAAATATGATTTGGATTTTGCTACTTTGATTACACACATTACATGCGAAATATGAAGAACGTAGCCGAGGCAGACGCTCCCAGACGGGCCCTGGCAATGAGGTCAACGGTGGTGGCCAAGTGGGTGCCGTGCCGCAACGTGTGTTGGGTGTGGATGGCAGTGGAGAGCTACGCGCGGCCGTAAAGCATTTGATGTGCCTGTGTCCGTCGCAGGAAATTGAGTTTTTCGCACAGCTGTACAGAAACACACCCACTCATATGTGTGTGTGTGTGCATGTGTGTGTAATGTAAATAATAGCCAGCAAAAAGCACAAGAAATTTATGCACGCACTCAAGCGCACAAATTCGCTTGGCGCGTCGTCTTCGTTTCTTCGCTCTACGCAGCAGCAGCGTCGCACTCTCAGGGTCAATTTGATTCTATATACACTGCATGCAGAAAGTCATATGAATTTGCTAACTAATAGGGAATTGTATATATCAATATAATATATATATTTATTCTTAAACATTGCAATAAAAAATACATAAGAATTATGCGATTGTCTTACCCACAGAATTCTCTTCTTTTTCTTGCTTCTCTATATAGGAAGTATTATTAAATAAGTTAAAAATAAATAAATTCAAATTGTAACATAAATTTTGATATTTGCAATAAATATATACAATATTTTCTGGATATATAATAAAAATAAATTTAAATAAATTAAATTTAAGAGTGCAGAGCAAGCACAGTTTGTCCTCTTTCTTTTCGCATATTTTCTCTTTTTTCTATTATTTGGTTCAACAATGTAAATGCTTAAGAAAATCGATAATTGAGAGTCCGAGAGTGCAATAATGTGTGTGCGTGTGTGTGTTGAGATTTAAGCTATTTAAGTTTAGTAGGCACAGAGGCTGTCCGTCTGTCTTGATACAGTTAGCTGGCTGCCAAGGCACTTGGACTCTGCCTGACCCGCCTTTCAACACGTCTGCCGCTTACCTTGTAACCAAATGCTCACAAATAAAATATCATGCAGTGCGTATTTATACAATCGTGGTCGGGCAGGTGCCAACACTTAAATGAAATGCAAAATGTTTGGGGCATTCGCTTGATTAGAAATGAGCCAAACATAAATTGATTAAATGTCATTCGATTGCGTCTGCAATCGGCTCACAATCAATTACAAAATGACAAATTTGACATGCCTGTGCCTGTGTGTGTGTGTATGTGTGCGTGCATGAGATTGGGCTAACGGATGGATGCCATGCGCATAATCTGAACAGTACGTCCTCTAACTGACAACTGTCCAGAGTCCAGTGGAGCGAATGTCAGCCGAAATCAATGGCAAAGTTGATTTACGTGCGGTTGGCAAATTCTGTTCAAGTGAATCACAATCGGTGGGCGGCTTATCGTGCATGGGCGAGGGCGTGGCACTGGCCATATCGAAATGATTTGCTGGCCAATGACAAATGCAGCTAAACGAATTATGTCTAATGGCATTTCAGGTTGAAATGCGATTAAAATGCAATTTGAAATGCAAAACATTTTGCACAGCCAACACAGATGTCCATGCTGAGGTGAATGCAGCGAAAGGGGCGTGGCAGGCTGGCTGGCTGGCTGGCTAAAGATTGCAGCAACTTGTGTCTGTGGCGCACTTTAAAGATGCTTTGCCAGGCTGTCTGATTGTCTGGCCATTTGGCTGTTAGCCAAAACAAGAGTCTTTTTTTGGTTAATGAAGAGACGCAGCAGGAGCAGGCGGAGCCAGTTGAGCTGCCGCTTGTGCCAGGCAACATGATTACAATGAATTCGTGCGTTACCTGCTGACCAGGCTAGGAGAAATTAACATTAAATGTTACAGAACTCAGCTCAAATCACGCGCATCGCTTGCCTGATTTATGTCGAGATTCGACAATTAAAAGTCCATTCGAGACAGCAGACCAGAGCAGAGCAAGCAGCGCACAGCGCAGAAGAAGCCGTGGCATTTGTTTTGCCAAGAAATGTTTTAAAGAGTTTTTGTACCTTTGGCACCTCAGCCTCAAAGTGCCGGCTGCGTTGTCAACAAAGCATAATTTATGCGTTTGCCGTTCGTCTGCTTTTGGAGTTGGAGCTGGTGCTGCTCCTGGTACTGGGTCTGGGTCCGAACACATTGCTAGACAAGCGAACATGACAGCGGCTATGTTCTTGTCGTCTGCTGCAATGCGGAATTTCACGTGGAAAAAAGTGCAGCCAGAAATTATTTTAATTAAAAGAGCAGCCAGAGACAAAGAAATAGACGCTAACAGCAGCCAGCACGACGAGGTAAGCACGCAGATAGTGATCGAAAGAGCGAGACAGCGAGAGGGAGAGCGTGAGAGTGAGAGAGAGAGCATGAGTTCTGCACGATTAACGCGCTGCATTTGTCATGATCTGTTTATTTTGATATATGTACAGCCCAGTGATTAATTTAGCCAACTCATGCTGTGGCTGCTGCTGCCAGCGATTCACACTTTATTATCAAAGCAAAGCACACGTCTATATATATTTTTATTTAAGTATATATAAATATATATCGATTGGCATTTTTATGTGGCCATCACCTGTTGTCTGGCGCGTCCCAAAAAAAACACATTTGCATATCTATTGAGCTGCCACACGCCCCCAATCGCTCTCCTGTTAGGTGTATCTGAATGTAATCAAATCAAGGCAAATGCTACAAATGCCAGCTGCGTCCCCCAGACACACACACACACACACAGTCGCCACACCTTACCAAGCAAGTGTAGCTGTGTCTCTGCCGTGGCTGTGGCTGTAAATGTATCCGCAACTGTAACATTGTGTTCGTGTATCTTTAGCTGTAACAGCTGCACACACCTACGCACAATTTGATTTTATGTTTGCACACGCAGCAACAATTTTCATTGTTTGCAAAATAATTGCAATCCACGACAGGCAGCTGCGACCCAGGGCGACCAGGCGGAAAGGGTGCTCTTCGTGTGTGCCTCTGTGTGTGTGTGTGTGTGTGTGTGTTAGTAATGGCCAAAAAATATATAGAAAAAATAAACTGTAGTTGGCTAAACTCTTAGGCCAAGTCGCCGCAGCAGCAAATTGGTCAAAAAGCCAAACAATTAGCGCGGAAACAATGGACCCTCAAATGTTGCTCTTGTTGCAGTTGCTGTTGCTGTTGTTGCTGATGGGCGGCCAAAAATGGATTATTGCACTGGGCATAAATTTACAGTTGCTTTGCTATTGCCCATGCCCCCAAATGTCGCCACACTTTTTGTTGCGCTTTTGTCAGCGCCCACAAAACAGCAACTCACATATGGCCAGAAAAACACACTCAGCCATTGAACAAGCGCTCTTCATGCAGCTCAATATGTATTTGTATTGGTCGTATGTGTGTGCGTGTGTGTGGCGATTTTACACACCGGAAGTTCAGTCCATTTAATGCACGAATTT